GAACATTTCATTTCATAAGAAAATCTTCATAGTGGCCATCGTGGACGGCATCAGAAAAATTTGCCCCGGAAACATGGTGCACTGGTCGAGCTCAATGGGGTCTTCGAAGGATCGTGTACCATTACGACCTTTCTGAAGGCGGTTCCGAGGGGGTTTGCATAGTTAGAGCTAATGTCTCTAGGAAACTATCCAACATTGAATCGATTCAAGAAATTATGTAAGAGCTTCAGGCTGAAGCAGTTACGGTAGGCCTCCTTGAGCTCGACGACGGTGACAGATGACGTCATATTCTGAAGACGGTGAGGGCAGTGAAGGAGGGCCTGCGTACTTATAGAGGGACATTTAGGGAATACTTTGCTGAGGAACTCCCGTCAACGACGGCAATCTCTGCGAAGAAAAAAGGCCGAAGTGCGACATAGGCAAAATGTCTTTTTTGTACCCCCCCCCCCTGCATATAAATATCGCTATGTCTGTGTGTGTATCCGTCTGCTACGAAATTCATATCGCGCTCCTTTGCAGCCATGAGCGGTGCATTTCCAGTTAATATAGGGTATGGGACGGGAATATATTTGGTGGGATCAAAAAGCGATAACAACTGATAAGAGGCGCTAGATCGCTAATTCCACGAAATACATAGCGCACGTACTAGCAGCAATTGCACCGGCTCCAACAAGTTATGTGGAGGGGGGACGGGAACATAGTACATATTTGGTGAGGGACCGAATACGATGACAGCGGCTAGTGCGCTAAAGGCTAATAGTAACGATGTAAGGGAATCGAAAGTACTTACTCAAACAGATTGGAATATTCCGTGTTGAGCTTTAGAGCCTTTTAGGCCTGCTCGCCACAACACCACCCAACCACAGCCTAATTAGCAAACCTGCTATACGTTCAGGAAGGATTTTCTTTGGAGCACCTACGCGCCATAGTGCACGACCTCTCCTAGCAAACAGAGAGGCTAGTGTTTGGTGCGAGAGGTGCACTTCAAGAAGTAAAGCCCGATTTAATTCGTATTCAATTCGTAAACTTCTACTAGAAAATTAGCCTTCTGTTTCTCGTTTTACAGTTCTTATTACAACGGCAAAAACTTGAGCAAGCAATTCTGTAGACCGCGTATTTGATTGCCTGCACAGCTTCTATTATATTCAATTTTACAGGAAAACCGATATAAAATCAAAAAGTTGCATGATGCTTATGGTCACTCTCTGGGGGATGTTGAGCAATTCATGTTATGGGTGAGCGAAAGCGCATTTTTCTCACACTATGATGCCTTTACCTTCTTTTTAAACTTCACCATGTCAGCTTATCCATGATACGTATTCTGCTGCACAGAATTGGATCAGCGAAGAGGAGGCATACGACAGGTGAGAGCCACCATGTTTAATTCACCTTCCTATACAAATCTTTTTAGGGTTGTCGGAAGGTACAAAAACTTGAGCAATACAGATAGACAGGTACTTTGGAGCATGTTCCCAGGAATCAAGGAAGCAGGCCTGCCATTGCCTTCTGGAATTCCTGATTCTGGAATTCAGGGTCCAAGTTCAAGTCAGTTTCACCTAAGTTAATGAGATAAGTGCTCAACAAAGCGTGCTCCCTGACAAAAATAAGGATGAACCTTCCCTTTGAAAAAAGCCATAAAATGTGTGATGCAAACCACACACCACAAGTGACGACAGTGTCCAGAAAATGCAAATGTTTTTTTGCCAATGAATTGATTAACCTGTTTTGTACTAAATCAATTGATACTAATTACAAGGATCATTTACCAGAAATCAGCTATCACTGTGAACCACTACCCAGATTTAATTGGAGGCCGTTGTCAATCTGTGTGTTGGTCTGACTCGACACTATGCTTTTGTGAAGAGGAGGTATATATTATCAACAAGTTGCGCCGTACGCTTGCGGGGGAAGTTGGCGCCGCGCGCGGGCGCGCACAGCACAGTTTTGCAGCCATATGGGGTGGTGCGGCGTAAATTCTCGAATTAGGCACAATAAACTTCGAATATTTTACTTTCAAGCTGAATTCTATCCGAATGTCCCATGCCTCATCCACCGATGGCTTTTGAACTTCAATATTTCGTCAGCTAATTGACCGCTTTTACCGGTCTCGGACTGTACCTATGTTTTTCTTCCTCGCCAACCTCTCCCCACTTTTTACCCGATCTCTGGACTGTCTCTGAGCCGATTTATATTTGGCCGTAAAACCTCCAGTTTTGGTTTATCTTTTTTTTTTTTGTTTTTTTTTTTTTTTTTTTTTTTGTGTTTTTACCTCCGCAACACCATTAGAAATTCAATCCCTTTCCTTTGCCCACTTTTTCCCGATTTCCAGGACTATTTGGAGCCGAGTTACAAAATTTTCTTAATAACTCCGCCCACACTGGACATGCCCAGTCCAGCGTGGGCGGAGTTATTAAGAAAATTTTGCATAGCAGTAATAGTAGTTGGCCTCCACTCCTTCGCCTACCTCTATCCTACTTTTTCCCAACCTCCGAGACTTCTTGGAACTGAGTTATGAATTTCCGTCGCAAACTCCGCCCACTTTGATGCACGCTTCACCCACCAATAGCAGCTGTTCTCCCGTGCATTGTCGGACTCGACCCACCTTTTTTCGGTCTCCCGGACCTCTCAATATGATAAGTTTAGGGCAAACTCCGCCCCGTTGTTGCTCGTCCCACCCACCAATGGCAGTTGACCTCCCTTTCGTTGACGGACTCAGTTCACTTTTTTCCCGGTCTCCAGGACCTCTTGGAACCGAGTTATGAATTTTCGTTGATAACTCCGCCCACTTTGGTCATGCCCCGCCCACCGATGACAGCTGGCCTCCACTCCTCCACCCACCTCCATCCACCTTTTCCCCAGCCTCCGGACTTCATGGAGCCGAGTTATGAATTTTCGTCGCAAACTCCGCCCACTTTGGTCAAGCCCCGCCCACCATTGATAGCTGGCCTCCACTCCTCCACCCACCTCCATCCCACCTTTTTCCGGCCTCCGGGACTTCTTGGAGCCAAGTTATGAATTTTCGTCGCAAACTCCGCCCACTTTGGTCAAGCCCCGCCCACCGATGACAGCTGGCCTCCACTCCTCCAAACACCTCCATCCACCTTTTTCCTGCTCTTTAAGACTTCCCCGACCCGAATTATGAGGGCTTGTAGAAAATGCTGTACACTTCAGAGCGCGCCCCGCCCATCAAACGAAAACTCTAGAAAATAATAGAATACACCAAGACAAGGACTGCAGACGGAAATAAATAGCAATGTCAACGGGTATAATGATGTGGATGTTGTAGAGGTAACAAAAGATAATATGAAAAAATACATTATACGAAGTTATACGACATTCTGTGGCGGGCCTCCGCCCACGTCATGTATGCAGAAACACCTTAGACATTGCTCCCTTACACCAAATTGTTTTCTGCTCTGTAGGCTTTCTCCCAACCGAGTTATGAAATTTTTCATAAAGCACTGCTTTTTTGGAGAACGCCCCGCCCACCGGGGGTGGGTCTCCCTAATTCGATGTGACTTACCAATGCACACCTTTACCCACTTTTTGGCCCAGTTTCGAGGCTGTTTTGTGACTGAATTTGAAATCTTGGTCTTCAGTACAGTTCATTTCGACGCACGCCACGCCCACTGTGGGCGGGGCTCCGCTTAGCTGATGTGTGTTTTGTACTTCGTGAGACCTTGCCCACCCATCCCACACTTGACCCGGTCCCTCCAGGCGGATCCCGAGGAGCTAGGGAATTTCGTGACAGACATACAGAACGACAGACAGACAGACAGACGACAGACGAAGCGCTTTATAGTAAGTAGGATAGGTGGTTGGGAATTGGTGAACATGTTTTTGCTGGTAAAAATTCGAGGTTAAGAAAAACTGAAGTCCGTGGATTATTAGCGTATCACGGGAAGATTCCATACCAGGTGGCGTTGCACAGTAGTTCTGAAATGCTTTGATGATTGATGCGACGTCTTTGTATGAATCAATGTGGTAGAGATGCCAACAAACAGTGGTAGTGCTTTGGTTTAGTGAGGAATTGTCAGTATTTTCAGAACTTTAACGATATTTCCCATCTTGAACCATCTCCCTCAATGCATTATTCCCCTTAGAATTGATATAATTTATAGGTTTCCTTTTTCCAACTTACTTTTGAATGTTTTATTGTTGTCCATATACGGTCCTCACTCTGCCGAAAGTTACCGTGAATGGCGCAAATTTGCGGTTTTTTCACTTTTTTTTCTGTTATGACTCGACAAGAGTCGTCTTTTGGACACTGAAGATCTTTTCAAACTCAGGCATCTTTGACCTAAACTTGCCACACTCTATGAGGAGATTCAAGAATTTTACGAAAATCTCACCTCTATCCCATGCACCGTGCACTGGTGTAGTGGCAAGTGGCATGCTTACCACGCGCGCGGTCCGGGGATCAAATCCTGGGTCGTGAGTCGCCCGGGCCAACCAAGCCTTCCATCCCTTCCGGGGT